TATTGATAGTACACTTTTAATTTTCCTGTAATTTTGAGGTTGGTTCAATATTAAACCACCAAAATAATAGAATAAAAGCGAATTGAATAATATAATTGCTTATCTTACAATTTTGAGTAACATTATGTAACCTATTATCAGCAACACACAGAAGTTGTCATAAAATGCTGCTTATGTTGAAATGTTGTCTTTTGGAAACAAAATCACCACTGGTGACTGGAGATAATTAATATATGGGAGGAAGTAAAAGTATTTCTTCTGAAATTAAAAATAAAATGCATGTGGGGTGGTGTACATGTGTGTGTGCATGTGTGTGTATCTTCTAAAACCTTGACTTCTGACTCAATAAAATTGTAATTCACTTTTAACATTATATGATACCTTAAGGTAAGAAAAACCCACTTCGTTCTGTTGTGTAAACTATAGTCCCAAAAGCTACTTTAAAATTATGTTGGAAGTCCTAAAGGAAGCATTCTTTTATGACTTAAATCTGTCATATTTTTAATATAAATAGTAATAGGTTGAATTTGAATTAAAAACTTTAAATTGATGTTAGACTTATAGCCTCCTTAACTTTTTGAACCCATGCTGCAGATTCTTAACAAACTTGGTCTAAAAAAGAAAAATAATTTTCAAAATGTTTTCCACTAAGTATGATAAATAAATTGTTAATTCTCATTATAATTATTCATACAGAGCTGAGAAATGAGATACTATTTATATTTTCAAAGTTCAGAATGACCTGATGTTATAACTTTATCAGCCAAATTTTAGTGTGCCTTTATACCTGCTTTATACATGCAGAGAACAGATGCAAATTGAAATCAAATTACACTAATTTTTTCTCAAATAATTAGTAGCCTTGAATAATTCTATTTTATCGTATACACCACTGAGAAGAGGAATATTTCTCTTTTATCTTGTTCAGTTTTTACAATTTAAATGATTTTAATTCTAAGTGCCAGGGAGCACTTACATGTCCTGGGGGAATTGGAAGAACCCAGGATCCATTCTATGTGTACTAACACACAAAACTCCGGCTTCTAAATAAATGCCACCGTTTCCTCATTCTCTCACTGTTGACTCTGAAAAAAGAGTTCTGCTGCAGCCTGTCCTACAGGCCCGCCACACAGGATTTATGCAGACTCCACAGTGGGGGATCTTTCTGCAAGGAAAAAAAGGAGGGGGAGGGAGTGGGGGATGGTGCTGAACAGACTCTCCTGAGGTTCTCTGTGGCTAATGCTCCTCCAATTCCCTGAAATCATGCCATTGCCAATGCGCTTTTCACCCAGCAGTGGTCTGCGATCAAAGGGATATGGCTGCAACCGCAGGCAAAATTACAGGCATCTTAACACTGTCATTCAGAGCACACAACCAACCTCTCCTTAATGTGAGTCCCGTCCACTTTCTTATCCTTGTGGCCAGTTACCTCCTCTTGTGAACTCTGCACTCTCATTGACTGCATCAATACTGCTAATTCCCAGGGTCATACCTGCCTGTGTGCCTTTGCTTTTATTTATTTTTTCTTCTGTTTCAATAAAATTCTCCCTTCCTTCTCACCCTTCCCAGAACTCTGCTTTGTCCAAGTCCTATTCCTTCAAACCTCACCTCAGTGCCTCCTACCTGAGGCATTTTTCAGGCCCTCAAAACTAATGACATCTCACACTTCTGAATCCCAATTATTCTAAATACCTTTTTAACATTAGTATGTGTTTATCTTCTCCCCCCACTGCAGTATGAGATCCTTGAGAGGAGCAGGAGCCATTTCTAATCCCTCTCGTTATCCCGTGACTCATTGGACATAAACATTGCATGTTGCACTCAATGCATGCATAGCCAATGAATGTTTTGAACACTTCTTTTTTTTTTTTTTTCAATCGGGCATCTAAATTGCAAGTACTTCAGTGCCAGAACCAGAAACATCATAGGTCTGTTCAAAAATATCCTAACAAAGCTTTTATGGACTTGATATTAGGAGAAAAAAAGTTACTTTTTTTTATTTCTAAGAGAACAGTTGCACATACTAGTTGGTCTTTTTATATGAACATGGAGGTTTATTTGACAGAATTTCATTAAAGTATTTTAAACTCTCCTTGATGGAATGATAGAGAGCCTAACTAAACATGAAAGCATACAGCATATATTTTTATGTATAAGAATTTTTTAAAAATACACATCACTAATTTTGTCACAGATGACATTTTATAATTTCCCCAGTACAAAGGAAATATTCCCAGATGTTTGGCATTAGATCTTCCCATGAATAATAAATAAATTCAGTATTATATCTATCAATTTTTCTACCATAAAATTATTCCCAAAACAACATGACAATGCTGCAGTGACTGATTACTCCATGCCACGCTTTTGAAATTGCCATATCCTTATTATAATTAAAACCACATTGGGCCTTATCTGTACAAGTAGCCTGACATCGAGCCAAAACTGCTGAAGCGGCTTTAATGTGGACTGGGGCAAGGAAATAAATAGTCTTTATGTCTGTAAACTTAACAGATATCTTGCAGTTGCTCAACCACGTTATGCTGAGGTTGTAGAAGTTTTTTCTTTATCAGTTTTTCCAAAGCCAACCAAGTTAAACCCAATGTCAAAAACAATTCAGAGTTTCAAAATCACAGTTTAAGCAGCACTTGTATCCTCACAGTGAAAACAAGGTCTGTAAACACATTTTTGTAGATCAATAATTTTGCTATTAAATATAAATGTATGGTTAAAATAGTATATATATATATATATTTTTTTCTATAATTAGCATATGTTTGTCTGAGAGATAAAATTGGATAAATCTAGAGCCTCAGGGAATGGGTAATAAGAGCACTCATTTACTTCTTCCCTACCCAATTAGTATGTTTTAGGATTCGTTCCTATTCAAATCCTAAACTTCTTTTCTTAGACTGCCAGAGCCTCTGAGCTTTGTGATGGACGATAAAATGTGAACTATGACAGATGTTTTCACCTTCATGAAGCAGGGGGACATTAATGAAATGTGTTTAATGCAGGTTATTCTGATGTTGGTCCTATGTTTGACACTGCATAAATGATTCTAAATTGCAGTTAAATTCTCACATAAATTGCATGCTGATTTATTTTCTGAATGCAGGAATGTCCTTACTCATAAAAAAAGTGATACTTGAAGATCAGCCCAGGGTGTGGATTTGTGGTTTTGTTTATGACTTTTACCCAAATCTCAAACTTTTGAGGTCATCTTCCATGTTACAGTCACTAGGTATTGAACCACCTTTACTTATTTATTTTTCCCTTTTTAAAACTCGCTTTGCTAATATCTAAAATCCACCTTTTATTAAATTCAAAATTTATTTCATTTACTATCACAAGTATTTGTGATGCACACCCAAGATTTGCAACATTCTACATTAACAGCCAGTTATTTTATACTCCTTAGATGAAATCTAGAAGCTACATAACTTTGAATAGCTCAGATAGTCAATAAATTAAGCAGTACATTCCTCCAACACTCTGCTTTTCGTTTTCATAATTGGAATTTTAAGTACCATAGTGGTAAGAAACTGGACTCCATAAACTCCTAGCTGTTCCTGTGGCCACATCATTTAAGCTGTATGGACTCTTCAACTTTATGATTTTTAACTTGTGAGTCTCACTACTTACAAAGTACTAGGGCTAGAACATATAATAGGGTTTAAAACATAAAAAAAGATTCTATAATGACAGCTCCAGATCATATTCTGTTGATTAAAGGACATATCTATTTTACCCTTCATCATCTCTATAATTACTGCTGCTTACAGTGGATGCATCTTAAAACCACTGCGGCCAAGCAGCAGTTACAACATTGTCCTTGATAATACATGTGAATTTCATTGTTATTCCTTATGGCATTAGCAAAGTCTATGATAGTAGTATTTCTGCCCAAAACAAATAAACAAAAACAACTAAGGACTATTGAGAATGGGAAATAAACCCTTCCTCAATTGCTTGCTTAAACTTTTCATTGGCATCTTCTGGTGCCATTGCCAATGCAACAGCATGAAAACTTAGAGATGGGTACCAGTTTTCTGAAAGAAATACTGCAGGGGAGCACTTTTTAAAAGAAATCCTGCATCATCAACAGTTTTGATGCCACAGAGATAATACTGTTAGGAGAACACAAACTTTGATGGGTGTGTTCAACAGCGACTTGAAAGATTTGGACTGTGAAGATAAAGAACTTTTAGGAATACCTTCTTTTTTAATATATGACAAAGAGTGAATTTCTTAAAAGGTATGTAAATAAGTCATGCAAAGTTATTTCAGTAAGCGCACAATAAAAATTAGAGTTGATAAAAACATTGTATTATAGTTTAATTTCCCTTTCTTTGGCACACATATAGTGAAGTATATTTCACAGCCAATGACATCTTAGATTTAAAAAAATACAATATTACCATTACTGTATGGCTTTCCCAGAAATGCTATGGAAGATCAGTAAGCATTAATTGATTTTAAAACTTGTTTCTAATCACCCTACAGCCTAATATATTAAAATAAGCAGAACTTTAATCGCTTCTCGGCCTTTTGGCTAAGATCAAGTGTAGTATCTGTTCTTATCAGTTTAAAATAAGCAGAACTTTAAAATCTGTAATTAAGACTTTCAATTTGGGGAATAACCTTTGAAAACACACTTGGTTTTCTCCATCCACAGAGTTTTAATGCCCATGTTTCCTCTGGTCAGCAATCACATAGGCTTCTCCGGAAAACAGTGGCCTCTCTCTCTCTTTGAGGTCATCCATAGTACCCCCCAAACAGAGTTCATTTACACCACATAGTTTATGTTTTAAGCCACACCACACCACACCAAATGAAGTAAGGTTAATAGGTAATTTGCCTTAGCAGTGTGCTGGTCATATGCTTTGTGCTATATATAAGTAACAGATGTCATTGTTATTGTTAATTTCAAGAAACAGGAAATGATAAAGTCTCTGTTGGCACCATATCTAATCTGCTAACATTGTTCACTTTTATAGGTGGAACTCACTGTCCAAATACAAGTGCTTTGCAAGAGGTGCGCAGCTGTAACGAGCATCCCTGTACTGTGTATCACTGGCAAACTGGTCCGTGGGGCCAGTGCATTGAGGACACCTCAGTATCATCCTTCAACACAACTACAACTTGGAACAGGGAGGCCTCTTGCTCTGTTGGCATGCAGACAAGAAAAGTCATCTGTGTGCGGGTCAATGTGGGCCAAGTGGGACCCAAAAAGTAAGGGCTTTAGAATGTCAACAGTAAATCCTGTGGCCGGCCAAGCAGGGGATTGGCTCAGGCTTCACTTGCCTCATGAAATGGAACATTTTGATGCTTGTCATACCTGTCCTCAAGAGTAAGATTGTTTGGAATGTCGGCCACTGATAAAGTTATACCAGCCTCAGAGCCTTATGCCTGGGGTCCATAAATTCTGTAGAAATCTTTCTGTGTGATACCTGCTTTCAGTTTTATGGTAGCACTTTCTGCTTTTATTAAGCTAGTGAGGCAATGAAAGAAGTGCTTGCTCTAGGCCTGGCTGATCAATAATGACAGGATACGAAGTCCTAGCAGTGTAGGTCATCCCTGACTCCCTATACACCGGTAGGCTACGGAGACTGCCAATCTAGTTTAATTGGGTGGTAGCCTTCTATGATCTGCCTTTCATTTCCCCTAGGAAATATATTAAAAAATACTGAGACTGAACTTATTATGTCTTTTAATCATTCAATGAATAAGCTGTTTATATCCAAGAGAGAGCTTTGGGAGAGGATGTTTTATGATAAGTGGGAAAACCACCAGTTTCTTACTGTGGTTACCAATAGTGTAATAACAAGGCGAACAATTTGCTAGAGAGGGGGGACAAAAAACTAAAGAATTGGCATATTATATGTGCCTTGTGAGAAATATAAACAAAAATGAGTCATGACATAACTGGGCTAATCATTCTTAGAGAAAATAAATCAATTCTAAAATTATAATCTTTTCAAGGGAAACTTTATCTTTTGAGATTTAGACAGCATAGGTCTTTTAAAATTCAAATTACCTTAGTCATGTGAAACATTAGAAGTAAAACCAGTCAAGTTTGTTTTAGTATACAGATGGCCTCATAATTTCCAAATTTCATAATTGGTCAACTGCTTAAATATTAACTGATTGTGGCCTGTTTTCAGAGTTTACTGAAAGGATTTAATGAAAAAAAAATAGTAGCAATGTGAGCACTTAATAAATCTTAGAAATTATTTTCTTTCAAAAATTTGAGCTACTTTTTAGTGTTTCAGGGAAATGAAAATAATGTACCTGATATATGAAAAAAAAACGAAGGAATTTGTAAGGATCCCCTTATGAGTTTATTTTACCTGGCCAGCATTCCACACATTAGGGATATTTTGCCCCATATTTTGTTTATGTAGTTTGAAATTAGAAAACATATGGCAAAAAGAATTGACTAAATTGAGAAATTATTTCACATGCTTAACAGCTCCAAACCAATATTTTAACCAGTTAACTGCCACACGTCCAAAATAGAAACCATCCCGCTTGCGTCTATAGATGCTTATGGCTTACAAAGGATTAATAGAAATTAGGCTAAAGTTGTGATGAATCTATCAAAGGAAAATAATATACAGTGTATTAAAGTTCAATAGCAGTAACAGCAGGGGAAGGAACCTTAAGTCCTGGAGGATACTGGGTCTTGCTGGGACAAGCACAGAAGTGGAAATACTCACTGCAGAGGGGTCTAACCTGACCTGCCTGTCATGGCACAGGATAGAGGGTTATTGTGTTGTACTTCTATGAGTAAACTCACCCTGTTCCTATTTTACAGTTAATCGCCTTTCAAATGTTGCTATTGATGGTTTCCTCACTTATGCAAAGTACAAAATATTTTGCTGAACAATGGGTGTACAGCATGTGTGTGAAAAAGCCCTCTGGATTCATGTCATTAAATCGTTCAGTAAGGAGGGGATCCCCATGCTGGGCCACAATAATCCATTAAACATGCGCTTTGCCCTTGCAGCCATATGCAGTGACCTGGATACATGGATAGGTTTGTTAAGTCAAATGGATTTACTTTGCCCTTAAAGTTCTGAAGAAGTAAGCAAATACTGTAAATTCAAAAGAAAATGTTACTGCCCTTATGCCTAAATGCTAGATTAAATTCCACAAATGCTTTTCAGTACTAGGCATTTGCAACAGAAATGCAAATAAAAACCTTGTTTTAAACTCTTAATAAAACAGATTACTGTGCAATAGTAAAATCAATGTTATTGATCTTACCTCTCTTCCGAGTAACAAACTTCAACTCCTATCACATCTGTTTAATTTGACCTTGAATAAGATTTGGGGGGAAATCAATTCCGTGATTTAAACCACAAAGACTAAATACAAACAGTACAAAAGAGAAAAGAAGCATGTTGACTGAACCAATTGCCTCGCCAAAGGAAGTCTGAATTTATTTTATTGCATGTAATCTAGGTTGTATAATTTATCTTTGTATGTTCATTTAATGGGTTTGTTGTTAGTAATTTTGTTCTCCACAGTTAGCCAAGTATCTTGCTGTGGATATTTCCAAACAAAAGCAAAATTTTGGAGGTTGTCAATGATAACACTATAAATTCCACTGATTTTCAAGGCTAACATTTTTTAAAATATATATATATTTTTTATTGATTTCTTACAGAGAGGAAGGGAGAGGGACAGAGAGCCAGAAACATCGATGAGAGAGAAACATCGATCAGCTGCCTCCTGCACGTCCCCTACTGGGGATGTGCCCGCAACCAAGGTACATGCCCTTGACTGGAATCGAACCTGGGGCCCTTCAGTCCGCAGGCTGACGCTCTATCCACTGAGCCAAACCGGTTAGGGCAAGGCTAACATTTTAAGAGCATGCACTTGAGTAATGCTCTCCCGTGGTCTAAGTTATAAAATTGCCTCATTGAAAAATGATAATTACTAATCAATAATTTCATAGTTCTGAAGAATGAACAGGATTATATGTGGGGTTTTGCCATATAATCTTTCCTGGTTAAGAATGAAGGTTAAATTATAATTCCAATGATTTATAGTCTCAATTGTATCAATACTTTAACTTCTGTGATTCACAGCTAAATTTCTTTGTCATACACTGACTTTGAATAGAAATCATAATTAGAAAAACACAAGCTTATTCTTAACATAAACCAGGGAGATTTATTTCTTTTTCAAATGTTGAATCTGGTGTGAGAGAGGAAAACATGTATCTGAATAATTGAATGGAACATAAATTATTATAAGATATATAAAAAATGAAGCATCAGTAAGGTGCTAGAAATAAATTATGGGAAAGAGATTAATGATTTTTTTCCCACTCATAGTTCAGTTCTGAAAACCTGATTAACTTACTTGTTAAAACACAATCTATCTTGACCTATAAAAAAATTTGGCTTCTCCCATGGGGAATATTTTTAAATCCCATATTTCACTAATTTCCCAAGTTATTTCATCAACAGTTTTACTGGTTGGTTGGTTTATTTCTTCAGTGCTTCTTAGCTTATTTATTAATGATTTATATGACCTTAAAGGAGTTTTTTCTGGGTATCATAACTTTAAGTTACTTTTAGTTACATGAATTATGTGATTATATTCTGTTGTCCTAAATTACATCTTCTTCTAATGGTAATGCTCACAGCTAACATTTGACTATTAGCAATAGTAGACTCAGATTGTAAAGGTGCAGACAAGGCTTGGGAAATTTAAAAATCATCCAGTAAGTACACAATAAATAAGACAGTATATTTAAAACATATATCAGCTCCAAAAATATTTCTTTCCAAAATATATTGTAACATATAAAAATATTTAAAGATTTTTCATTTATTCCTCACCCAAGGACATGCTTTTATTGGTTTTAGAGAGAGTGGAAAGGAGAGGGACACAGAGAGAGTGGAACATTGATCAGTTGCCTCCAGCACGCGCCCTGATGGGGGATTGAACCACAACTATGGCACGTGCTCTGACTGGAGATTGAACCCGTGTCCTTTATCTGTACGGGATGATGCTCCAAACAGCTAAGTCACACCAAATATTTAATGTTTTGGCTAGTCAAAAATATTTAAAATATTTAAAATTCCATCATCTGAAACTAAAAAAGTAATGGAAGAAAAAGGATACTAAATGAAAGTAGGAATGACACAAAAGCTATTTATCATAATAACTTATACACTTTTATTATTTTATTATTTATTATGAAATATATAGCTGTAAATACAACTTTTTTTTTAGCATGTACTGGGTATAAAATAGGCTTCATTATAAATTTGTCATGCTATACATTTTTGTAAAAATAAAGTGCAGAATAACCTGAAAATTTATAATTGACAATAAGCCTAGTTAGTTATGCAAAGATGTAAAATTGGGTCCTTACATTGGTAATTTGAATTTCCACAAATTTTGTAAAAGCATGTTAGAAAATATAAATTTATTAATGGGTAGATTATTATAAAGGAGTTTCGTATAATTATTACATTTTGTCCTAGATAACACAATTACTATTATTAAAATCACACATCTTGTTTTGAGAAGCTTTATTGAGGCCTGGTTTGGAAGAATGTAGTTGTATAGTTCTTGTCAAAAGCAAAGCTCCCAGAAATTAAGACTGGTGATGATTTAGCAACTTTAACAATGAAAATTCTAACCATATTAAATTACCTGGTTTGCAGGATTACTATAGAGACTTAGTGATTTCCTTTTGTTTTTTCCAGGTGTCCTGAAAGTCTTCGGCCTGAAACAGTGAGGCCCTGTCTGCTTCCTTGTAGGAAGGACTGTATCGTGACCCCATACAGTGACTGGACCACTTGCCCTTCCTCATGTACAGAAGGTATGATCTGGAGGGTTCTGGAGGTTCTTCCCCTAGAAGACCACTTGCCAGCACCTCTGAGTTCTGACTGAATAATGTTTGTGATTCTTACATGGGTTGTGTAATCCTGGTTCAGCATGAATTCCATAAAATGTTGGTTTCTGTCTAGAAAATAATATAGCTTTACCAAACGAATGAGTTTTATGTCAAAACTGACTTAAAACTTTACAATATAAGTAAAAGTGAAAGGATTCTAAGTGTTATTATATTAATAATGTTTCCTTTAACATCTATACTAATAAAAGGGTAATATGCTAATTAGACCCGGTCGACCAGATATCCTCCGGACTTCCTTCTGGACAAAGTCACCATGGCTGGGGCCAAGGCAGAGCTGGTTAGGGGCGATCAGGCCAACAGGGGAGCAGGCAGTTAGGGGCGATCAGTCTGGTGGGGGAGCAAGCATTTAGGGGCTAGATCAGGATGGCAGGAGACAAAGCAGATAGGGGCGATCAGGCTGGCAGAAGAACAAGCAGTTAGGGGCGCAATGAGGCCAGAGAGGAGGAGCAAGCAGTTAGGGGGCAATCAGGCAGGCAGGGGAGGGCAGCTGAGGGTCATCAGGCGTGTAGGGGAGGAGGAAAGAGGCATGTGATCAGCCTGAACAGAGGGGCAGGGGGAGGGGAGGGTCATGATCACCAGGAAGTGGGCAGGTGAATAGTGGGATGGGGCAGTTGATTATGCAGTAGATGTTCCCCGAGGATGGAAGAGGGCCCATATGAAGATTGAAGGGATGTGGCCAGGAGCCTCCAGAAGCTGAAGAGGTAGGAAGGAGGGAGCACAGCCCCAGACACCCTGATTTCAGATTCTGGACCCAGAACTGGGAGAGCCTGAGTTCCTGTTTGTTTAAGCCAGTCTGTATTCATCTGAGCAACAGCCTCAGGAATTGACTCCTCTTTGACCCTCCTTTCGGGACTTGTCCGGGTTCCTGGGACAGCAGAGGCTCACAGGGAGATTCATCCCTGTGTCTGTGCCTTGACCCTGTCTCCCGCCCCCCATGCTCCCCAGGGCTCCTCGGCAGTGACAGTTAAGTGGGCACACCAGGGCAGGAAGCTTGGTGGGAACTGCAGTTGACTTGGCACAGGGACTCCTCTGCTTGCCAAGCCCCGGGCTGTAAGATGATGCAAGGTACTCCAAAGCCCTGCCCTTACCTCCCAGGCCTTTCCCCTCATGAGGTCAGCCTGGGGCTGCCCTTACCTCCCAGGCCTTTCCCCTCATGAGGTCAGCCTGGGGCTCCCCTTTCTGAAGCACCTGGGTTGACAGGAGCCAGCAACTGGGTTCCATGCCCAGATTCTAGATGCCAAAACTGGCTCAGGGAGAACAGAGGGAGAGCAGAGGACCGTAGCCTTGGCCCACCTCCCAGTCAACTCAGCCCAGCTGACAGGTCGCTCCGCCAGCTGCCAGGGATGTGGGGCCACATGATCAGACCACGTGGGTACCTGACAAGGGGGCAGGGCAAGTGAGCAGCCGGAAGTGGGCCTATCCTGAGGTGGGCAGGTGAACAGGATTCGGGGCTTATGATCAGCCGGTAGTGGTTACAGCTGGAAGTGGGCTTGGGAACTTGGGGACGGGGCTGTATCAGCCAGAAGTGGGCACAGCTGGAGGTGGACACTTGAACAGTGGGGCGGCCCACGAGTTCTGACAGAAGTGGGCACACCCAGAAGTGGGCACCTGAATGGAGAGGCGGGGGCTCTTGATCACCAGGGAGTGGGCACGGGAATGTGGTGCCTGGGCTGTGATCAGGCAGAAGTGATCGCAGCTAGAGGTGAGCATGTGAACCAGGGTGCAGGGCCATGTGTTCCGTTGGAAATAGGCACAGCAAGATGTGGGCACCTGAACAGGGGGGCATGGGCATGTGAGCAGCTGGAAGTGGGCGTAGCCAGAAGTGGGCACCTGAACAGGGGGGTAGAGGAATGTAAGCAGCTGAAAGTGGGCACAGCTGGAAGTAGGCACCTGAACAGGGGACCAGGGGCATGTGATCAGCTGTTAGTGGGCACCTGAAGAGAGGGAGGGGGCTCCTGATTATCAGGAAGTGTGCAGGTGAACAATGGGGTGGGGACACGTGATTATGCGAGATATTTTCTGCATAATCAGATTTAGGAAGGACCCTCCCCTGAAGACCTTGAAGGGAGCACAGCCCCAGACACCCTGATTTCAGATTCTGGACCTAGGTCAGCAGGTAAGTTGGTAATCAGGCCAGCAGGGGAGGGCGGTTGGGCATGATCAGGCTGGCAGGGGAGTGGTTAGGTGGTGATCAGGCCAGCAGGGAAGTGGTTAGGGGACAATCAGACAGGCAGGCAGAAGCGATTAGGAGCCAGTGGTCCCAGATTGTGAGAGGGATGTCCAACTGTTGGTTTAGGCCCAATCTCGCAGGGATTGGGCCTAACCTGGCAGTCAGACATCCTGCGAGGGGTCTTGGATTGGAGAGGCTGCAGGCTGGGCTGAGAGACCCATGAATTTTGTGCACTGGGCCTCTAGTTAATTATAAAAGAATGTATAGCGGCCTTATATATTTCAAAAAGAGTATACAGTCTTCTTATCAGTACTCATAGTTTTCAACCCACTTATCGCAAGACATAGCATGGCCCCAGGTAGTTTCTGTTCAGATTCAGTTATACAGTCCCGAAGGAATAAAAGAAAGAGAACCAATGGCTGAAAGTGAGAGAAGGATTAGAGAGTGGAAAAGAATGAGAAATTGAAAATCCGGGTATATATGTAGATAGTGCTGTGGGTCCAGGTGATGATAAAAGGCATTTGGGGGGTCGAGGTGAGGGTAGGTCTAGTTTCTTGTGAGTAACGGGCATGCAAGATGTAATGGGTTTAGTTGCCATGGTCTCTGGGGGTTGGGCAGGTAGCTTCTTTAAATAAAGATGCATGTTTCCACTATGATACCATTCTCCCCTGGAGATCCTGGGGTGGCGGTGATCAGGAGGACAGGAATGCCAGCTCAGAAAACTGCTGTCCTGTGAGCTAGAGACTCTCAGAGAGGCAGGGCTGCGTTTGGTTGAGTGCAGGTCATCTCATCAGGAGCAGATCAGCCCTGCCCGTTCAGTTTGGCAGCTCTATGGTGTGTTGACTGAGTCTCGTATAACAAAAGGCTTTAGAAACCCTCAGTCTAGGCACTCAGACTTAAAAGGAAGAACTGTAATTGTGTGTTGAGGAAATAAAAACTAAGGGGCAGGAGAGGGTTGCTGTTGGACAGCAGTGCCAAGATGCTTTGTTTCCTGGAGAAGCCTTTTCTGTTGTGCCCATAGATTGCTTAAACTGAAAAGAAAAATACAGTGGTGTTAGAAAACTAGCCTTTTGTTGCAAGGAAAATAAAGCAATGATATGTGGTTAGTTTTTCATTATTTGGTATGAAATAGGAATGGTCCACATTTCATTGAAATGACACTGAATTTCTCACACAATTAAAAAATGCAAACAAAGTTGAATGTTCAAGGATAGATAACAGCCACAGAAAATTAATTCAGGGATGGGGTGGTTCTTTCAAAGTTAGTTATGCAGGTGAAGTCTAAAGTTTATAAGAGCTTTGAATTAATGAATGTGTGGAGCTAACCTCCTTTTAAAAAGTAATTTAAAGAGGTAAAATTATGCTTTAGTATTGCAGAAAATGGAATAGAATACCTTAGCATCCCAGCAAGAACAAAAAGAATTATTTGAAATGTTGTTCAGCCCTCTCTCAAGATATGTGTTCAATGCAATAAAGATCAGAAATTGAGTAAGAGAGTAATTCTTAAACCAGTGCACTTGGTAACTTTTTAAAAATTTTCATAAACTTTACAAGGGGTAGTTTTTAAAAATAGAAAACATTTATACATATAAATTATTTGGAGCTCTAATCTTTAAAATATCATTATTTTTGACCAAATAATACATTTAGCTGCTCAATTTCTATTTACCCTCCCCCTTTTCACACTACATTTATTTAATTGAGATCTAGAAGGGATATTGCAGAGGCATCTATTCTACCTTGATGCCTTTAAGCACTACTTCCCTAAAATTACCCCAAAGATAGGAAAAATACCTTTACATTTTGCTTCTTGCATGAAACACTTCTTTTCCAATTTCCTACCGCTATGCTCCTCCGTCCTGCTATTCCTCCCACATCCAGCTTAACAAATCTTAGTTTTGCCTGCCTTCTAAATCCTTCCACCAAGTCATTTCTCTAGTGAAATTCATCTTGAATGTCTTAAAGTATCTGAAAAGTTCTGTAACTTTGTGAGAGATTACATTAACCCTCTGAATCCACGTGCCCCATCATCACATAATTGTTTTCTGAATATATAATCCATTTTCTTTTTCTATTTGTATCCCATATAGGTATTTTCCAGTATAAACACTATAGGAATATTCCTTTACTTTCCCCATGCTCATTATGGACAAAGTGATACCTTATTTTTTTATTAATCCTCAATGTGCAGGCTTAGTCCCCATGTTTTTACTACTGTAAGGAAATGGATAAAAGAAATAGATGTTAATAATCCAGTTGAGAATAAATGAAATAAGTGTGTTTTCTCATTCAGCAAATATTTATTAAGTCATTACTATGTGTAACTATTGTTCTATAGCAAAAGCACAAAGATAAATGGAAACTATATATATGTATTAACCACATGTAATAAACTGGGTATAAGTACAAACAAGAAATTTTGAAGGTTGTAAAATTCTAGCTTGCCAGTTCAAATTGTTAGTGGGGAACATTCCTTTTTTATTTTTTTATCGTGTGCCATAGCACTCCTTTTGTCTGTACTTTGATCTGAGAGCTCTATAACCTGGATGAGCTTACAGTGCTGTTTCTTTGAATGCACAAGTAATTTCTTAACTGAGAGCTGAGAAGAAATGAACCTCTTAGTGGGTAGAAACATGGGTGTCATGACACTTCCTGTGTAACCCCATTAAACTTCCTCTCTACATGTTATGGCTTTGAAATGTTTCACTTGAATCAGGTCACAATCTCTGTCCCTGTGGGCTGCACAAGGTTAAAGTATTTGAACTTTTTATAAGACTAAATGGATTGCCAAGATGGAATCAACTATGGAAGTGAGAAACAGTCATCATAGTCTTATATATTAAGTGCAGACTATGGAGGTTGTGTTGAGAAGGCACTAAAATATGTCAGAGTTGTACATTAGGTGATGTTTTTGCTTTCAAGTTAATAAACAAAGTAAAAAATGAAACCCTCACATTTGACTGCTGCCTCCCCCGTCTGAACAGCCCTGCCTCTGTCCCAGGTGACATCTAGGGGGTTAATGACCCAAAGCTTCAGTCTATAAGGTGCCCCTGATGCTGAACTCACAGTCACCTGCTTTGTCTGGATCCCTTGTTCCCAACTCCATGTCTGTTGTCTATCTGCAGGCTGAGAGGGTTGGAGAATGATTGACCCCTGGGAAGCAAAGGCCTGCTTCTCTGTATTCTTTCTCTCTTTTTCCCTGTTAGAAAACAAGCATCTCCTTCCTTCCCCCAATACTAAACAAATGACAAGAACGGTCGTTTAGTGTATATACTCTTTTAAGAAGATTATAAGCAAAAATAATGATAGAAAGTGTAAAAGAAGGATGGAGTCAAGTAGTAAATGGGAGAAGAAGAGAAAAATTATACTATAAAATTAGAATTAAGGTAAGCTGCTGCAATTGAGAAGAAAATTAGTTCTGAGATTTTGGTGAACAAAGCCAAAAATAGAAGCACAGTGGATTCTTAACTGATTGTCAGGGGACACAAAATTTTTCCTAGCTCTACATTATTAGAGGAATCTCTCACCTGGGCCTTAAAAATAGGAGTCATTGGACAATAAAATGGATGAAGACTGCATTAGCAATTTTATTAAAAGTCCTATTGGCATTTTTTTAGATCTTTCCTAGATAAAGGATTTTTAACATGTAAAAGTTGGAGCTAGAATTCATACCACTACTGTTAAACTAAAAATGTCCATGACAGTATTTTCAAATACTTGAGTTCTCTGCTACTCACTACCTCCAGTCCCTAATTCCCTACTCCATTACCTGTAGTATTCCAGTTATTCACTAATATAGTTAATACAATCATTAATAGTACAGGTTTCCCCCACAATGGGAGTAATCCTAAAAGTTACACATGAACCATACTATCTGAAATTGGGACAAGGCATACAAGGTTGTCTATTCAAGTAGATCTTAAGCCTGGGTATTCATCACAGTTTTCTGGCAAGCTTTGTAAAAATCAGACTTTTAAACTCAGCTCCCAAAAATTCTGAGACATGGTTTTGATTTTGTCTTTTTAAGGAAATTATCCTATGCAGTCAGCCATTTAGGAATCACTAATTTGATCCATTCACACATCTAACACAGGAATCTTCAATCCACATTGCTGGGAGTCAGTTGCCCAGACCCCATTGAGGGATACCTTAACTTCTTGAGAAAGGATGTTTTATTATTAGAAAGTTCTAATTGTCAAATCATATTTTTCTACTAACATAATAACTTTAAGAATGTTTCATTTCATTTCTGGTTAAACTTTCATTGTTCGGGGCTGCTAACTCTTCTAAATTTCTCTGTTCCTGTGGTCTACATATTAAGTATTTAATGATCTTACAAAAAAATTTAAATGCATCATGCCAACTCCATTAAAATAATTCTTGAGGGAATTCTTTTATGAGTGAAATTGTGCCATGCAGTTATTCATCTCTAAAGTGTATTTATTGTAAGTTGGAATATATTTTTTATTAAAGTTGGCAAGTCTTATACATGATCTGTTTCTAATACCAAAAAATTTTGAGCATCTTTATATCAATAATACTGTCAATTTGATCTCTTCCTTGCAGATAAATCTTATTTCCTTCGGCTTTTTAAACACAATTTGGAGTTATTTACTTAGCGTAATGATCGCTATTTCGAATGCTTCTCTAAAAATTCTGCCTCCAAGAAGTGACTTTCATTTCACTACGTACAACCCTGATGTTAAAATGCGACCTGAATTGAAGATCTTAGACTGTTTAACATGAATAATAAATGACTAGAATAATTTATGAGTTATGCATTTCAAATTAAGTGAATAACAAAGAAATAAAATTTCTCATTAAAATCTGGAATATATTCTCCTAAGAAGGATTCATTACATGTGTATGAGTCCCGTGTGGTAAACAGGGCTATGTGAAATGGCATGAAAATAAACTTAAGGTAGAGAAAAATAAATTAATTAGAGCTGTCATATTTCTCAAGGGGCAAGGAACATACAAAAGAGCAATTACTTTGCAACTGTGCATTGGGAAGCCTCGTTGACTATGGAACTGTTTTCCTCATTCTTCCCATTTTTAAATAGGAATTGATTGGGTTTTCAGTGTAAGCAGTCTTTGGGAGGATTTGGGAAATGATTAGACTAGATGCGTCCTCTCGTTCAGGGATGTCAAAGCACATGTAGCTAGAGGCCATGTGCTTTCTTCACACAGGATGGTATTTGGAGAGTCTTTTTATCAGTGCAGAGCACAGAGGTTAAAAAGCTGCCTCGTTCTAGGGAGTTCCGGAGTCAAGAAGCAGTCTCGGCACCGGGTCATCATTCAGCTGCCAGCCAACGGAGGCAGGGACTGCACGGATCCTCTCTATGAAGAGAAGGCCTGCGAGGCCCCTCAAATGTGCCAAAGCTACAGGTAATAGAGGGAAAGAAAAAGCAAAATGCTTCAAGTCCAACGCTGTCCTGCGGGCTCAGTGAAGTTGGGATGTTTACGGCTGTATGTGCCATCGCCTACCTCTTTAAAAGAGCTGTTCGCCTACTGAAATGATCTCCAGGGAGACAATGACATAAATCTCCATGCGGTATTACTAGCTCCAGCAGTTTGGGAAAATTTTGTATGTTGACATAAACGCTAAGGAATGCAGAGACGCTGTTAATAATTATGTAAATGTATGCTTTAGGAAGCAATTCTTTTTCACTTAGAGGAATGGCCTAAGCACCTATTCCTCTCAAATGCTGGCATCCTTGCTGACAAAATGACATCTTTACCCTCAATGATGCTAGTGAGGCATTTGTTCTATTCATGTTTGGCCACCTCAAAGAAAATTAAGGTTATTAAAGTTATATAGTATCATCTTGATAATTATTAGAGAAATTTGTCTTCAGAACTACGAAAAGAAAGTACAGACCTAATTGAAACAATGCGGCATATAATTGCAACCCTGACAACAAATGAAATAGTATGGCATCCACTGATGGAATGTGTGATCACAAAGTAGCAATTTAAGGTAAAATTGACGGCTGATCTGCCATCTTCATTTATCTGTATTTAATTCTGACAAATAATAATTACAAAAAATAGTATAATTGCATGTTTAGACGGTGAACACTAACATCAATTAGACCCATGGTCGGCAAACCGCGGCTCACGAGCCACATGCGGCTCTTTGGCCCCTTGAGTGTGCCTCTTCCACAAAATACCGACTCTTCCACAAAACACCGACTTCTGCGCATGGGCTACGAAGTTTCAATCACACTGTACATGCACGCCCGCACATGGTATTTTGTGGAAGAGCCACACTCAAGGGGCCAAAGAGCCGCATGTGGCTCGCGAACCGTGGTTTGCCGAGCCGCAGTTTGCCGACCACTGAATTAGACCAAATGTATTTATTTGGCGGATTTGTCTTTGTAAGGTGCATTATAATCACAGTTTCTGAGTTATCGCTACAACACTAACCAAAAGAAGACTATAGAAAAGGCTCATGACATGAATTGGAGTTTTATAACTTGAATATAAAATAAACATACCTCTACTAAACAGAATGCATCACTCTGGTACCATCTGGCACATCTGCTGGCAATCCTCATCATTAAGAAGGCTAAATGCTTTCTATAGAGTTTATTCTTGTAGAACTTGGCCATGATGAACTATGTCTCCACTACCATAGAAAGTACCGCTCTATTTAATGCTGGCTTTTTCTAATGCCTTGGAGACCTACATTACATTTAGATAGGTCTGAGCTCGTCAAATAAATTTCTCTTTGCAGTGGCCACAGTCATGTTTCCATGTCGCCGTAACCCTGGTTTGCCTGGCGTTTTTGCTTCCTCTCCCTGAGGTTTCTTTCCTTTTCTTCTAGGTGGAAGACGCACAAATGGCGCCGGTGCCAACTGGTCCCTTGGAGCGTGCAACAGGACAGCCCTGGAGCACAGGAAGGCTGTGGACCCGGACGACAGGCCAGAGGTGGGAGGCCTCGTTCCACAGCTGATTTGCTTTTCATTCTCCAACATCTCTAACTTAACCACCAGCTTGATGAGTTTGTCATTTGATGCCATGCTTAGCCAATGGAGCAGAGCAGACATGAATCTGCTTACTACTCATCCTACATAGCTCAGGGATGTGTCTTTTTAAAGTGTGCCCTTTGTTCTTTGACATTAGCCTATAATTCCTCTGCTTGAATTTTTTCCTTACTGATATCTAGAAGACAATCAGATGAAGCTTTTGAGAGGGTTATGACAGAGATTGTACACTGCAGCTGGTTGTTAGTTGTGGTGGTTAGTTTGGGGATCATGGTCTTCCATAATACTTTTGCTTGTCACCTTAACAGTAAGATCCTTTATATCCTTGCCCATCTGCATTACATACGTGTGTGCATGCAATGCAATATAATGGGTTAAGTTTCCCAGAAATTCCCAGCAATGACATCCCTAACATACCCCCAATTTTGTTCCTATGCAGTACTGATTTTTAAATGGCAGATTTATGTACTCCAACCTGCCATATGTGGACAGCAGTCTGTCTGCACTGCTGGATAATGTGGAATCCTGAAGAAATGAGTGATGGAAATGTTTCAAATTTGTCAATATTATTTACTGCGTATTATGACTAATACTTATATTTGAAGCTTTGGACATGTTATTTATGCATGTGGCAAATTCAGTCTTTAAAGAGTACATGGTAGTTTCTACTCACGTTGACTTTTAGCATGTAACTCCTACATACCTAAAATGTAGTTGAATATACAATTGAAAACACTGCCATCACCTCTCTTTCATTCATAAAAACATCTTTTGATCCCTCGTTTGTTTTTATGTATTTGATGATGCAAAAGTCGAAACACAGAATAGAATTCCAGCCTTTGCGGATTTGACCTGGAGCCCATTTTCTTTGCAATGAGAAGATTGCTTCCCTAATTTGGAAAAAACAACAACTGCTACTTCTTTGTAAAACTCTTCTATTTATATAATCATCATTTTAGAAGTCTTTATTTGAAATATAAAATTTAGTTTACAAATAATAATGACTAACTATGGACTTTTGGAAATGTATTTTATATGTTTCATTTTCATTATGCATCTTCCACCACCAGCTTTAGCTAAAAAATAACTGTCTCCTTTACAGTTATAGAGACTTAGGTATTTAGGATAGAAAGGCATTCTCATTTCAACCCATTCATCGAGAAATTGAGTGACATGAGATCTTCTTGTCATGCCCTACTAATTCCTCCTTGAATCAAGCACACATTTGCGTGCAATCTGGGCCCTACACAAAGTTTACAATGAAAACAGGTATGAGTTTGGGAATCAGGAAACAATATTTAGTCCTTGTTCTTTCACTAATACACTGTGATTCTTATTCATTACTTCACATTTCTGGGTCTTCATCTATTTAGATGAAGAAGAAAAAAAAAGAAAAAAGAGAGGGTCAGACCAAATGATCTTTTAAGATTACCCTAATATTCATATTTTACAATCTATGCACAGTTAATACTCAGGGATCCAAGTGTGTCAATTGAGATTAGGTAAAACAACCCAAATATTTACAGTCCTCCACTGGAGGAAATCTGAGATATGGTGGCAACAGCACAAGTGTGACAACAGCTTCAGTTCCAGACTCTTTTACTCAACAACTGCAGAACCTTGGTTCGTTTATTTCCTCCCTCTGAGGCTGAGAACATAATGCTCCTCAGATCGCTGCACATATTTAGTCTCCATTAAATGTTGAATCCTTCCCCCTTCGGTCATAGCTGGCGTAAGAGCAGTGGCTCTCAACCTTCTGGCCTTTTAAATACAGTTCCTCATGTTGTGACCCAACCATAAAATTACTTTCGTTGCTACTTCATAACTGTAATGTTGCTACTGTTATGAATCGTCATGAAAATATCTGATATGCAGGATGGTCTTAGGCGACCCCTGTGAAAGGGTCGTGTGATCGCAAAGGGGTCACGACCCACAGGTTGAGAACCACTGCATAAGAGCAACAGTATTAACATGGGTCTTTTGTAGTTTTGACACAAAGTCTGTATGAGAACTGTTCGTTCTGTGATCGGTAATCTTCTTATCTCCAAATCTAAAAATGCCAGCTCATTCCTCATCCTGGCTGACTGCTTTGTAGGACCTAATATGGTGACCCATTCTCACGTGAAAAGGGGTCTTTGGCTTCCCCCATGCCTTTCTGATTGTTACATTCTTGGTTTCCTATTGCTGGTTCCTCTTCCTCTGCCTGCACTTAGATAATGACTTCTAATCTTGGAATATTTGTCAGACGACTTACTCTATGTTGGCAATCTTTTCTATGCCCAGGCTATCTGGAATGAAAGATCATTTCTGCGTATACTAAGAGGAACACTCTTAAACTCCATATGAAGATAATCTTTGTTGCCTTGGTAGATTAAATTTTTTTTTCTTAGAGCCTATATTTCTACAGAAACATGAAATGGAGAAAATCAAGAGTGTAAAAATATATTTTGCTAATGAAATACTGGCAACATTTTCTTCCTTCGATGGTCATAGCTGTTTTTAGAATTCTGCATGATTGACCTGTCATATTCTTGCTATTCTCATCTTTGTTTTTATCTGGTCAGAGACTTAAGAAGTGCCAACTTGTGCTATTTTTTTAATGATTAAAGAAACTGTGTAGTAAGGATTAGCATCGATCAGCAAAGACTAGAGAGAAACTGCACCCTGTCCTCTCCAGTGCACCACATTTTCTCATTCCAGTGCCTCCTTTAACTGATCGCATTCAGGAGGCTGTGCAGCAAGAGCCCTGCGTGTCGGGAAAGAATGAAGATGTTCAAGGCAGGGAGCTTACATTTGGTTAGGGAAGTGGTGTCACTGGTAACATCCAACATGTAGGAGTTAAAGGCTGATCCACCGCAAAAGCAATAATTTGAAGCTAAAGTGTTTAAGAAAGACCTAAAGGATAAGCTGGGAATTGAGTTGTGCCGTAATATTAGAATTAGTAGAAAAGAGAAAAAAATACAAAATAAGATCAATTCTATAAGCTAAGCATTTGAGGTAAGAAAATGAAAACATTAAATATGTTCACAGAAAAGTGGGTAATTGAAGCTCTGAAGACGTAAGCTGGAGCCTGGGGTGATTTTGTAGAAGGCTATAAATGTCAGGATCAGTATTTTAGGCTTTGTTCAATAAGGAGTAGGAGCAAGCAGTGTTTTCTCTGTCCGTACGTAGAGAATAAATTAGGAGGATAAGACACATCAGTCTGGATGCCAGCTAGTACACTATTGTAGCAATGCAAAGATGCAGTAATAGGGTCTCAGGAACCACAGTGGTGGGAATGGGCAGAAAATAAATGGACTTGCAACATGCAATAAAGTAATTTTAGGACTTAGTGGCAGGTGAGAGTAGCAGAAATAGAAATAAGCAAGTCAAAGATTTGATTCTTTAATGCCAATATTTTTATTTTGAGAATACTTACTGCGTATTGATGGAACTAGAATAAAATAAGAAACTAGAGCTGATTTTATTTTTTTTATTTTTTTAAAAATATATTTTATTGATTTTTTACAGAGAGGAAGGGAGAGAGATAGAGAGTTAGAAACATCGATGAGAGAGAAACATCAATCAGCTGCCTCCTGCACATCTCCTACTGGGGATATGCCCGCAACCCAGGTACATGCCCTTGACTGGAATTGAACCTGGGACCTTTCAGTCCGCAGGCCAATGCTCTATCCACTGAGCCAAACCGGTTTCGGCTAGAGCTGATTTTAGAGAGTATATTTTGTATATTGTGCATTAGAGGTGACAGCAGGGGAGCCAATTAAAAATATCCAAGTATGCATTTGAAATGTAGCTGTAGACATAGCTTAGGACAGAAGATAGAAATTTTGGTAAAATTTCCAGAAAGGGTTTTGATGAAGCCATAGAAGCTAAGGTCCCCAAAATACATTACATACCACCAGAAAAGCAATTACTGCATTTTACCATTAATAGATTTTTTTTCTATAACCTGTTTGTATTTGTAGAGTGTTTAAGCATTTCTTTTTACCTAAAGAATTAAATTGTATTAACTTTAAATTACTATTTCTTTGCTGTAACAGAAACAATACCCTATGAATTAACTTTACCATTCTATGATTCTGAAGGTAGAAATTTTTACCCATGGATTTTACCAGACCTTTGGTCTAGACCAGTGATCAGTAAACAATGGCCTGTGTACCAAATCCAACCCATAGTCTGTTTTTTTTAAAAAAAATTAGAGTTCTTTTGAAAAATAGCCATACCCATTTCCTTACCTATTGCCGATGCCTGCTTTCATGATACAAGGCAAAGCTGGGTAGTCAGCCCTCCATATCCACAGCCTCCACATCTGCAGGTTCAACCAGCAACAAATGGAAAAAAATATTTTTAATGTTACAGTGTTGATGATTTACACTATGTTGCATCTGGTTTCATGTGGCCTACATATTATTGGGTTCAGCCTGTTGAGAGAATAAATGTATATAACGTAATTTTTATATATTTCTTATGGTAGGAAATATACTATAGGTATAGATGATTTAGGTGACTCAAGGAAAATCTATATGTTTGCGGAATAGTGCATTGACCATTTTGCCTAGAGTTTCTGAGTGAGTTGGAGGCAAGAGCCCACACTCTGGAGGAATTGAATACCTCCAGGAGTATTTGAATACCAGAAGGAAAGGGGAGAAGAGGAGGAGGAGGAGGAGGAGGAGGAGGAGCCCAGGAAGAGAAGGAATTTTTCAATAGGAAAGCAAAAGTAGTGAAGAATCTTAGCAAAACTTTGGATATGAACAATGATGTATTCCAGGAAATTCTATCTAATAGTGTAAAAACTAAATAAAGGAGAGGGAGGGAGGGAGGGAGGGAGGGAGGAAGGGAGGGAGGGAGGGAGGGAGGGAGGGAGGGAGAGAGAGAGAGAGAGAGAGAGAGGGGAAGAGAGAGATTTTAAAGAAGGGATTGACGGAATTTGGAAACTTTAAAATT